ATGACAGTATTGAAATCACCAATAAAGATGAATTAAATATTTGAATAATTTTACAGATACAAGCCCTTAGTCCTATGAGGCCAAATCAGTTTAGCTGCTTTTAACAACATCAGTGAGTGTCTGTTTGTACTTTAGGCAATGATATGACTTGGAAATCTGACCACAGGGGCACGAGCACCCTTACTTCACATTAACTTTGAATAAAATAGGCCTTTAGGAATGGAATTCAGTTCCAGGTACCTGTATGGGCTTGAAATGAAGCCCAGAGCCCATAGGTCTAATCAACTTGACAACATTTATTTTAAATATTGGTATTAAAACTCAGTCTAGTACTGGTTTATGCCAACACCCCTTCTCAGCCTTTTATTCCTAGCTATGGAGCATAAGTATTTATCCTGTAGGCAGTGTTGAATTTAATTTTTCTAAAACTATTTAAAGTAATTTTGTTATTAAATTTATATTCTTCGAAGAATTGCTCTATTAGTCCAGTTGTTTAATAAGATGTGAGGTTTTCAGAAGCATTTATTGTTCAGAATGCATTTGTGACATGGCATAGAACCTGGATTTTAATATATATCAGGATTTCATATCTTTCTTATAGTCTTTAAACACTAATATTAATAACTATCTGGTAATTAATTAATTAATTAGGAAGCATACAGTCTTATTATTTTGTCCATTATCTGGAAAAAAAACCCAACCAGTTCTCTGTTTGAGAACAGACTACATGTGATTTAAGTGGCAATCCATATCCCTGTTGTGATTTCCTGAGGCATTTCTCTCTTGCTGTATAAGAGGCTGGATTATATTTATCAGGAATGAAACTTTGAAATAAAAATATCATTATTTTCAGATGGATAATAAGGGACTGGGAACAGCTGAGCTTCCTCTCCAGCTCCAAACAAATATTTCTCTATAGAAAGTACAGCTTTCTTCATCAAATTCTTTCCAATAAAGATCTTGATTTCATCTGTAATTCAAATAAAACCAAAGCATAAGTGTCTCTCTGAATTATTCCCCCAACAGTCCCTCCCTACAGTTCGCTCTCTTCTGTTGCAGCCCATCATTCCTCCTGTCCCACAGAACATTTTCTGCATGGCTGGGGATGAGGTCCGGCTGCTGAGAAGGAGCAGAACTTGGGAAGGATCCTGGTGTATATGCCCACCACCTGAGTTCAGGGAGACACTGTGAGGATGCTCCAGGCTTTCGGATTTGGCAGAAGCTTTGTGCAGCACAGGGGAGGTTGGCAGGAGCTAGACTGCAAATCCTGGTATCATTCACCTCCTCTCTGTCAGAATTATATATATACACGCACAGGCATCCCTTTGTCAGTTGGCAGGAATCAATAGCTGCTGACTCATGGCAATTGTTGCACCTCCCTCATGATCTCCATTTCTCAAATATCAAATGTAACTGCAATATGAAGTAAAAATAGCAACAGCAATGAAACACCCTGAGATCTTAGTGCCTACACAAATGCAGGTGGAAGGAAAGGTGAAAACCCAAAAACTTTTGGTGGGTTGGAGTATTACACTGACTTTTATTAAGTATTAGTATTGCCATCAAGAAGTATTGAAAAACAGAAATTACTTGTTCTCAAAGCTGATTCTTCTATTCTGGGTTGTTTGGGGCTGTTTCATTAACCTGAACACATGCTTTTTGTTCTTGCTGTTTTTGTTTTGTTTTGTTTTGTTTTTGTTTTTTTTTTTCCCCCAGTGGTTGGAGGGATTTCTCTTTCTTCGACAGCTCAGAGCGCTGCCTGAATGAGTCACGATGCCTTGAAGAAGCAAGTCCTTGAGTTGTCTTTGTCTCCCATTTATCCTACAGGATTCACTTTTCTGTGTGGTTCTGAGTAAAACCCTGAAATGGGTGGTATCTTGGTAGGTGCCAGCCATTTATTTCAAATTTGTTCTTTCTCACTTTCATCAAAGAAATGCAATATTGTCTACTGGTTTATCTGAGTTGTTCTTTCCACCCTACTACTCTGTTTTAAGTGTGTTCAGATCTATTTTCTGACTATACCAAAGATTTTACCTACATATGTATATAAACCAAATGCATGTGTGTGGCATGTATATATTTCACATACTGACATTTTTAATAACATTTAATTGGAAAGTTATTCTTCACATGGTATATTTGAAGAGATAGAGCAAAGTGAATAATGGAAATAAATTCCTTGTGAATTATGCTTCAGTTTGCTTCATATTGTTGCTCCTGAGTGCAAGATAAGAAAAAAGAAAATGTTTTAGTGCAGTGAAATGAGACCAGGAACAAGGATGAAAGTAAAGAGTGGGTATTGCTGCAGGGCTGGCAAGGTTGAGCTGTGCAGATACAAGAGATGATAACTCTTACAAGCAGGTGTAGTAAGGGAGATGTGGGCAGCATCTGGGTTAGCAGCCACCATCCAAGGGAAAGCTTCAGCTAGAAACACATTAAGAAAGAGGCATTTTACACATGTGTCAGATTGGTCTCCACTCCCGAGCCTACATGCTGAGATAATTGGGCGGAAGGACTTTTCTAATGGCTTAAAAAGGAAGACGGATATAAGGCCAAATATGAAAAGCTGTCTGTTTAATTTTACCCTGTGTCGATGTTCTATTTTAGGTGAATAAATTGCACTTTTTTTTGAAGAAGCTGTTGCTGAGTGCTGGCAGGTGCTCAGGAAAAGCTGCGCTGGCCAGTGAGCCTGGTTGCTGAGCTCTGGGATGGGAAGCCCGAGCGCAGGGCTGTGGCGGGGGCTGCCAAACTGCGGCAGGTGGTCAGGGGCACCTCGGCAGCCTGTCAGGGGTGCAGTCAGACCCATGGCATGGCTGGGACAGCTGTTAAATGCACCCTCTAGTATATCTACTGAAGGTGTCAGGCAACAGTCAGTAATGAGAAGTTAGTTCAGCCTTTCCCATTGTAGAAGGGATGCTAAAGCCTTCGCAGAGCGTGCAGATATGGGCACAAGTCTGTCTGTCTGCCTGCCTGTGTAATTGCATGTCCTTTCCTGACAGCAAACATCAGCTAGGCACTCAGGAGGGGCTCAGGTCTCAGAAACCATCTCATCTCTACCCATTGATGGAATCAACCTGCTGAGTAAAGGGCAAGAAAAAACAGAGCCAGGCTGCAAACCAGAGAACCAACCCAGGAGAGATCTTCTGTACATGCCTCAGCTTTGGGAAACCTTGGTTTGGAGCCCAGTCAAGGATGAGACACAGGCCCATAGGAAACTTGCCTTTATTATTTCCAGGGCTCATGGAGACACTTGTTTCCTATTTAATTCAAATAGCTGTGCAAATTCAGAGACAAATGTGGCAACAACAACAACAAAAATGTCTGTAGTTGTTCCAATAATTCGCTGTACTTGTTTCCTGTATTTATTTCAACTTTAATACTTAAATGACAACAGTCATGCCTGACAAGATGAGGAAACTCAGGGTTTCCTTCTTTTACACTTTGCAGTTGCCACATGGGGATGTGGATGTTTTTGATCTCCTTGTCTGCACAAATGCCCTTGACCGTCATACCTTTGTGTGTAGGGACTCCTTCTGTCCATCCCTATATATCATTTGGAGTTTTGACTGATCGTTGAGGTAAGATGCAGCTGTTTAAGCTGTTGTCATGCTGAATCATTTTAAAAGCCTCTGAGGAGCACACAAGGGTGCTGTGATATTGCTGGTCCCTCCTGCCCTGCTTTGGTCATTCACACCATCCCATGGAGCTCAGTCGCTGGGATCAGGAACTGGCAGTCCCTGGGGTACAACTGCAGATGTCATGTTCAGGGAATAGCAAAGACTGAGCACTTCGGGTTAAGTTTTAGGAAAGTGCAAATCGCAGAGTCACTTATTTTGGAAAAGACCCCTGAGATCATCAAGTCCAACTGTTAACCTAACACTGCCAAGTACCGCTAAACTGTGTCTCTAAGTGCCATGTCAACAATTCTTTTAAACATCTCCAAGGATGGTGACACAATCACTTCCCTGGGCAGCCTGTTCCAATGATAGACAACCCTTCTGGTGAAATAATTTTTCCTAATATCCAAATTAAACCTCCCCTGGTACAACTTGAAGCTGTTTCCTCTTATCCTATTAGTTGCTATTTGGGAAGAGACTGACACCCACCTCGCTACAACCTCCTTTCAGGAAGCTGTAGAGAGTGATAAGGTCTCACCTCAGCCTCCTGTTCTCCAGACTAAACAACCCCAGTTCCCTCAGCTGCTCCTTCCATGACTTGTGCTCCAGACCCTTCATCAGTTTCATTGACCTTCTTTGGACATGCTCCAGCACCTCAATGTCTTTCCTGTAGTGAGGCGCCCAAAACTGAACACAGTATTTGAGGTGTGGCCTCACCAGTGCCGAGTACAGGGGGACAATCACTTCCCAAGTCCTGCTGACCACACTATTTCTTATACAATCCAGGATGCTCTCGGCCTTCTTGGCCACCTGGGTACACTGCTGGCTCACATTCAGCTAACTGTTGACCAACACCCCCAGATCTTTCTCCACCAGGCAGCTTTCCAGCCACTCTTCCCCAAGCCTGTAGCATTGCATGGGGTTGTTGTGACCCAAGTGCAGGACCCGGCACTGAGCCTTGTTGAACCTCATACAACTGGCCTCAGCCTGTTGATTCAGTCTGTCCAGATCCCTCTGTGGAGCCTTCCTTCCCTCAAGCACATCAACACTCCCACCCAACTTGGTGTCATCTGCAAACTTACTAAGCGTGCACTCAATCCCCTTGTCCAGATCATTGATAAAGATACTGAACAGAACTGGCCCCAGTACTGAGCCCTGGGGAACACCACTTGTCACTGGCCGCCAACTGGATTTAACTCCATTCACCATCACTCTGTGGGCCTGGCCACTCAGCCAGTGCTGTAAAATATCTCTTCTTGAACGATTTTGTTTGCTGGGTTTTGCAAGCATCCCTGCTTCTCCTTGCACCACAGTGACCGAGCTGTCCCTGCTGTTAATGCCTCTTACTGCTCAGTCCAGAGCGTATAATTCTCAAAACACAGCTCTTCTCAAACACCAGTCCAGTCATTCCCTTAGCAGGCTGTAAAAGTAGGTGATACAAAATTATTATAGCAAGAGCCAGGCTGCTTATAAGTTATACAGCTAACTTTTAAATGAATTTCTTTACTAATTTTACAAACACATGATGAGTGTTTAGGTAAAATTCTGCCCTTATTTTCAGATGCCCTCAGTTTCTCATTAGTTAAAAGCCCACTCATTAGGAAGAGCAGATTCCTGAGACAAACACATCAGCTGTTGTAAATTGTTCCACCAAAGTTTTCTGCTGTTCACTGATTTTATAGAGGTAAGTGCCATGTTATTTACTCAATTAATAATCAGTAAAGACGAAGTTTTCACTTCTGCTTGTAGACCACCAGTTAGGAAGTCTTTCTGTGTTATTTTCTGTAGCATGTCAATTCAGAACTATATTTTATCTTTTTTCCTGTCTAATAGCTATTTGATGCTTTACACTCCAATGTATAACAGCAATTTTAAATTAGAAAACTGATCTTGAAATGCTGTCTATGAATAAAATTCACATTTAGAAAAAAAGAGAGTAATGCTTTTACTTTAAAGGTATTTCAGAATTTGATTCATCACTTTAATACTTAAATGCCCTGGGCTGTGCATGCAACACTACACACCTAGGAAGTAGCTAATCCTATGCTGGTTGTGTATCTAATCCCATATGAAAATTAAAAAAAATACTTCTTTCATTAGAAGCAAAGCATTCAGGGTAATTGTTCCAAGATGACTGACAGTAAGGCAGTCCATCACCTACAAACAGTGTATTTTAAAATAATTGCAAAAGGAGCCCAAAAGAGGATGCAGTTAGTTGTTTCACAATGAGTTCTGTTTATTAATGATTTGTGTTAATATATTGTGCTAGGTATTTCTAGAGCTAGTTATTTAAGACAAAGTAGACACCAGACATGCTGTGTATTGGCATGCAAATAAAGGCTGAAGTTAATTTCACCTCAAATGCTTTATGCATATTTTCCAAATTGTCATGAGTTTCTGTTCAGCAAAGTGTAATATTTCCTTCTGTGTTGTCCAGAGAATAGGAATTATTTACTGCAAGCAGAGATTTACAGTGGAAATACACAACTGTTTTAAGCATTTGCCAACATACTATGGTTTTTAGCTGACTAAAGGACACATTTTTCCTCTCGCAAGATTATAAATGCTTAATAACTTCATTAATTCAACTGGAATATTTCCAGATTTACACCCTTCAATTAATTTCAATTGAATTTTCTTAAATTACACCATCTGAAAGCAGAATTTATCTTCGAGAGAGCTAAAGTTAATTTAGCTTACAACATTTTGTCAGGAATAAGCCCAGGCCTGATTGTAGGAATTCTCTGTTATCAATTTGGCTTAATTTTCTCTTTTATAAGTGCCCCTAATAACAATAAACCTTTCAGAAAATGAATACATGAATTAAACAGGTGGTGTGAAAGAAGCTAAACTATTTTAAACGCTTTGCACCAATGTAAACTCATGTAATATTTATTGTACAGTATTACCCATTCATACATTCTTATAAGCTATTAAAATTACATGCCGGAAGGTAGGATGTATTCTGTTAGTGCCAATTAATGTTCACGATCTTCAGTTAAAATTACTTGGTAATAAATTAAAAATAAAATCTATAAAACAGTAAGAACTTCTTTTCAGAATACTGTTGGTAGGCACTTTTATTTTCACCCATCAAGGGCCAGGGCCAGAAGAACAGTGTACTGAACACTGCTGAGGATATTAGCCTTAATTATTCAGGGAATTAAGTCTTTAACAGCACTAACAATCAATATAGCTCCTTGAGAAGGCAAAAAAAATGCAATTTATTTTTTCCCCTTTATTCTTTGCATATGGGGAAGAAATAAATATTAAAATTGCATCTAAAAGGTTCTACTTTTAACATAAAAATTACAACTTTAAATATTGAGAATATTTTTTCTAAAATATGTTTGTCTCTAGTTTATAATGCAATAGAAGCAGATGGAACGGAATTGAAAATAACAATACATCAAGCTTTTTCATAAAATACACTCTAAATTCATGTATTAGATATGTAAAATGGTATAATAGTCTACATTTTATATAGTTTCATCCACTCAAAAAATACTTCTCTCACTCAATCCTTCAACAACTGAAAAATTGTTTGTGGCACACATATATATTTAATCTCCCTCTACTGCACAGACAGATTTAAACCATTTTACTTTATCTTTCCCTGGTATTCAAAGTGTCATCAATAATCTGCAGTGATTTAAAATGACAAGACAGTCTTTTAACTAAAACAGTACTGGGAATCATGACCTGTATCTTAATTTTCCTTCTGTCACTGTGCTAGTAAATCACTGAAAAGTTTCAGTAACTCAATAGGGAACGTTTTTCTCTCCAGCAGGAATTTAAGAGTTAATGTCTGAAAAACAGTTTGAGGTCCTGTGTTAAAGGCAGTGGGGCAGTTAGGGAGAAGAGCTGGGAGGGAAGGAAATCCCCAGCCCTGGCTGTCTCCACTGGTTGTGTGTGAGCACGAAGCAAGGACAAGTTGACCCCAGCACACACATTTGTGATTGAGCAGGCTCTACACAGCCTCGAACAGCCAGATCAAAAGGAAAAAAAAAAAAAAAAAAAAAAAAAAAAAAAGAAAGAGGATGCAGGCTCCCAAAATGGGATGTGAAGGCATTTGGGACAATTTACAGACCTGTTGCAGTGCTGGAGCATTGGGCCAATAGATGTTTAGGCTGCCTAAACTACACACATGGAAGGGGAAATGTCAAATATTTTACCAGTGGTGCTTTGGTGACAACACAGAAATGCAGGTGTCTTTATCTGTGAGAGCTGGAAGTGACCAGAGCATGGGCAAAAGAGCATTTTTGATGGCAAAGCCTAGTGGAATGCATGCAGCTGCCTGCAGGCTACACCGAGGGCTTGGTACTGGGGAGCTGGGAGAGCTCCACCTTTATGCCCTCCACTAACCTGAACCTCTGTCATGCTGGAGATAAAAAGTCACATTGTAAATTAAAAGTTATGAGTCTCCTGGTTTTACTGAGGTTTATAACTGGGTGAAAGTAGTTTAAGAAGTGATTCGTATTTCTGTGAAACCAGTCCCATGGCCAAGGGTGGGGTGAAATGCCATCACCATTTATCGTGATGAGTAGCCCTCAGTCTTGTTGTTACTAATGCGATGGTTTGGCATAAAAAGCAATGTGTGTAAAGATGTAAGAGTCTGGCCTCTAATGACTACCTGACAAAGACGGTACAGGTAGACTAGGATAGACCAGGACACATGAAGTACTAAAATGGTTATTTTTAATAGAAGAAAAGAATTTTGTGTTCCATGTGAAGAATAACTTTTCAATACTGATTATTTTTTCTTTCATTCCCATGATTCCTTGCAGTCTTTTCTCTCAATTTAAGGCATGTCATGAGCTGCACATAGCAGAAACAGTAAAGCTAAACAGGAAATGCCTAAGCAGATCTCTGTTCCAAATATGACTTACTGTAAAACTGTGATATGCACAAAAGAATGTCCTCTGGCATTTTCCATTTGCTTTAAAATGAATAATCTACAGTTTACAAAAATGTCAGCAGTGATAGCATAGCCTGAATCCCCATCTCCATGTTCTTTGAATTTCTTGTCACATATTTTGCAGAAAAATAAAGGGATGCTACTTTGCACCTTGCAACCTAGTATGTTCACATATTGGAAGTGAACTGTAATATGAATTGCAAAGGAAAATGTCAGTTGTATGTTTGGTTTTGTACTTTTATTGATCTGTAAGGAAGACTGCAAGCATTTTAGTGTTATTTTTCTGTTCACTTTTTAACTTGGAATCTGGTCTGAGAAATAGAACTGGAGAATTAGGAAGACCTGTGAGTCAAGAGACTGAAAACTGAAGGTATGAGGATACAGTGAATACTGAAAAGAAAAGGGGTGATGAGTATGAGTTATTCCTGGGGAGATTCCAGCTGGACACAAGAGGAAAATTTTTCACAATGAGAACAATCAGCCACTGGAATAATCTCCCCAGGGAAGTGGTGGATTCCCCAACACTGGACACTTTCAGGATTCAGCCGGACAGGGTGCTGGGCCAACTTGTCTAGACTGTCTTTTTGCCAAGAAAGGTTGGACCAGATGATTCTTGAGGTCCCTTCCACCCTGATATTCTGTAATTCTATGATAATCTCTATGATAATGCAGTTTTACGCTTTTAGACCATAGAACAATTCAGGATAGACAGTCAGCCTGTGTCCGTCTCATCACTTTATCTAATGCAAGTCATTTTTCTACAAAACTAGGAAATTCAAGACTTTTTACATAATCCTGAAACAGAAGAATAACAGTAGAGAGGGAGCAGCAACACAGAGACAGGATGGACAAATTTGGTCTTTCCCTTATTTCCTAAGACAGAAATCTTTATACATGTGTAGATAAACACATAGAATCTTGTAAGTGTATATTGTGTGCATATAGATCATACCTCATAGAGAATAATGTATCGATGCACAAGATTTTTCAAGTTATTTGCAAGGTACTCTTAAATGTGATTGTGTGGTGGAAAAAATGTTTAAATACTGTTGAAATGCCCACATTTCTTAGCCACAATAATAATTTCTACCCCAAATGTGGTCAGTCTATGTTCAAAAAAGGACATTCTTTTTAGCTGCCAATTTTGCACATTCCTCAACGGAATGCAAAAAATTCAGTTACATTAATTTCCTTTTTAAATGCCATCATATTTAATCTATTTTCCAAGCAAAACACTTTCCTACAGATATAAGAAATACTAGTTAAAATGAATGTGTGTCTACAATGAAAGAAAATACAGCGCTATACTCAGCAGTTGCAAGACAATAATACATATGAGAGGTTGAAAGCAAGCTTGGTAAAGTGTTGTAAATCTAGTTTAGGTCACAAAGCATGACTCTTTTCTGTTGGAAAAATCACCTTTCCTCTATGATTTAACTCTACCTCTTTCTTATTTTGGATTTTAAATTATGTTAGTCAGATACTGGTTAACAAGGAAATCTGAAGTAGCTGTTACTGTAGGAACTCCAGATTATTTTTTTTTTTCAGAGTGTGTTTCTGAATTCTGAAATAGTTATAGAGTTCAATGAAAGATGTGCAGCCTAACTCATACTTCACAGGTAAAACCACATGTCTCTGAGTTCTTACTTTCCTACTGCATATGACGTTGCATATATTTCAACAGCCTTTTAACTGAGAGTGTAGTTTTCCCTTCCCTGTCTGAACTGAAGGAGTGAGATAAGACCAATTTAATCATAGGATACTGG